CCTTCGGTGTATAGAACGAAAGCAGATTTTGACATCAAATTTTGGGGTAAAAAAAGTGCATCTTATACACCGAAAAATATGGTACTTTATTATCAATGTATTCTAATGAACTTGGCATTGAAATGTACTTTATTCAAATGTTTATATTATTTAAGTTTTAATTTCTTAATTTCAAAAGGAAATATTTAAAATAAATTCTCACTCTGAACCTTTCTGAATTGTTTGATGTAGTGGTACTATGATTTCTTATTTATAGATTATTTTTCTTCCCTTATACTGGCATCAGATACAGTGGATATTCCCCCCAGTGGCACAGAGGTATGTCTGCGGACTTACGATGCTAGAATCAGGGTTTCGATACCCGTGGTGGGCAGGGCACATATAGCCCAGTGTGTAGCTTTGTGCTTAATTACGAACAAACTGATACAGTGAACACTCACAACCTCTTCTTCATTTACTGAGATACTAATATTTTTTTCAACTCCTATGACACGTTCCTTCCATCTACTTTGAAAGAAAACTTGATATTTTTTTTCAGAGATTCTACAGGTACTGCAAATGAAGTGCGAAGTGTAAGATATAAATCACCTTTCACTCAGACTGGCTTATTAAATTCACTGACAAAAAACTTTATCAAAAATCAGATTTTTTGTGTACGACAGACTTGCAATATTTAATAAAAGCTTGTCAGATTTTGTGAATATACACTTAGTACCTTAAGAATTATAGTGTGTTTAGTTACATGGTGGTCACATAGTCTGCCAATACGATAGTTAAAACAAGTTTTTCAATCAACATTTATTTTCTCATTCTTTTTTTTTTAAAACAACTATACCAACAAAAACCACTATCAGCAAAGGTACCAAACTGGTAAATTTGGGTAGATTAGTGATAGAAGTAGTTTAGTAGTTTGCCTTTTACTCATAATTAAGAGTATTTGTTGTTAATTGTAGTTTTATTGAAGATTTATAGCAACTTTTCTAATAGTTGTTATTCCAGAAGCTGGTACATAATTACTAGAATGGTCAGTTTTATTGTTGTTGTTTTTTTAATTACTAGTTTGCTTATTGATCTATTTCTTCTTTTTTTTATGACAGTTTCACGATAATGCATTACTGAATCATAAACTACCCAACTTGTAGATTTTTCTCACTAATTTTTTGTAACATGTGCTTGTCTTTGTTCATAGCTGGTTCACAGCTTTAAGACTAAATTTCTCGATTATTTTAAGAGATATAAGAACTTTGTATACACTCCTAAAACCAAACTATTGTTTCTGGGAAGAACTTGTACTCACTATTATGATACATGAATGGTGGAAGAATTATACTCTGAAAAATTATTTTTCACCTTTAATATGAGAAGAAAAATGCAACACCATAATAAAATGTAAGTCTTCTTGTTTGGTTTAAATAAACCAGGGATGCTCAGAGATCAGATGATCACTCTTTGCTCCACTCTTAGTGTAGGAGATGGTTAAAATGTACTACATGATGAAAAGAAAAGGGAAAAAAAATATTTAACTTAGACTTGAACTCTCTCTCATTTAGACTCTAGCTGCAAAAGAAACCAGAGAGGCCAAAAACAGCTGTTGTCCAAACCCGATGTCTTCAGAGAAAAACAATCTCAATTGTTTCAGCTCTGAACAGACTCCATTCCCATTCAAGAAATTAACTAAAAAGTAACAGTAATAATAGTAAAAAATAAACAAAGATATGAAATAAAAAAATGAATAAAAAAATAAAATAGAAAAAGCAGGAAGGTAATCAGATGATTTAGTATCAGAGAATTAGTTGTGGAGGGAAAACGTGAGTACCCTGGGGAAAAAAAAACATTTTCACTGGTCGAGCACCAAATATTTCCCTTGATCAGTCTCCTGATATGAGCCTAGATTGAGAAAAAAAAAAGATATGGTTGACAATTTTACTATGGGCATATTTTTCTGGAAATGTCACCAGGTTTTAGTGAGTTACATTCGAAATTTAATTAAGTCTTCTTATCATGCTATACAAATAAACTTGGCATAAAAATGTAGCCGATAATCCAAATTTTAATATTATATAAGTTTTGAGCTCCTAATTTTATAAGGCAATATTTAAAAAAATCCTGAATTTCCTCTAATACGAGTATTGACATTTGATCTCTAGGTATATTCTCCAGTATATTTACCACCCTTGTGATAAGTGTGAAATGTAATGTCAATTACTCATTATAAGGTTATCATTGCTGCAGGCAAAGCATCATTTTTATAGCTTTTAATCTTATTTGATTACAAAAATAGAAAATTGGACCCCCTCTTGCCACTCCCACCTGTCACATCCTCTCTTTAAAAGATTGCCCATAGTTCTCTACAATGTTTAATACTATATTATTTATAACCAATAGAAAGCCAAGGTTTTAATCTATCAACTGATGTATTATATTGTGTTGTTTTTCATACAGAGAATTGTCTATTTTGCTTCCAGTTCAAACTTTATTTCCACAGGAAACACATTAAACATTAGCTGAACTTTTTAACGGCTCTTGTCGCACGATTAGAAACCCAGAATGGCTTCGTTGTCCGTATATCGAGATACACAAGTTACAGTTAAAGCGTGGGAAAGGAAGATAATATGTAGCAAAGAGTTGAGCACTGAACCTAATGGGAGTCTGGCTTATAATACGTGAAATTCAAAACAAACCAAACCATGTTTCAAATTTTAACATCTTAGATAATTTTATAACAATATATAAGAAATATACATAAAAGACATGAAATTTAGTACTTATGTTTGGCCTCGTATTTATTTATTTTTTTGTTGAACGACAGACGAAATGTAAGCCTACTTTTTTGTAATGATGGTACTGGTACATTAAATAATTTTTATTTATTTCAAATATACAGTTAAGAACACAAAATAATAATATAAACAAAGCAGACAATCTATTATGATTTAATTGGAATTCTAACTAGAGCATAAGGACCTTAAAATAATTTCCTTAACTGCTGAACTTGGCAATAGCAGCTTTCAGCCTGTAAACAATATAATTTAAAATGTCTACTGAGAACGATGTAGATTATATGGAACGATGTAGATTATATGGAACGATGTAGATTATATGGAACGATGTAGATTATATGGAACGATGTAGATTACATGGAACGATGTAGATTACATGGAACGATGTAGATTACATGGAACGATGTAGATTACATGGCACGATGTAGATTACATGGCACGATGTAGATTACATGGAACGATGTAGATTATATGGAACGATGTAGATTACATGGCACGATGTAGATTATATGTCATTTAGTAAATTAAAACGTTGTCTTTTTATTAGTTATAAATGATATAATAACAAATTGTAGAGAAAATTTTTAGCAATAGGAGGACATGGCAAGTGAATCTGACATTCTGGTTTGTGTATCTGTAAATAAAGAAAATTGAAGCTATAAGTAATTATGCTATGCCTTAGTAATATTTATACTACAATAAATAGTCTACATTAAAAAATGGACATTATAGAGAGGTGATGAAAATAGAAAATGGGGAGATGAGAATTTATTAGAATATTTCCTTTTGAAATTGCCCCCCAGTGGCACAGCGGTATGTCTGCGGACTTACACCGCTAAAAACCGGGTTTCGATACCCGTGGTGTTGTGACGTATTAATGTTTAACATCAAAGTATGGAACGAAAGGTAAAACAAACGTATATTTCTTAACCCTTTCCATACAGGTAAGATCAAAGTGTGCATTTCACAACTTTTTACAGTTAAGTTCAAAATTTAAATAAATTACTTTATAATCAATGCATACAAATGAACTTCGTATTAAAACAGTTAGTAAATTATATTCTGATATTACATAAGTTGTAATTTTTATAATTTCAAAAGGTTTGTTTGTTTGAAGTTAAGCACAAAGCTACACAATGGGCTATCTGAGCTCTGCCCAACCAAACAAGTTTTAATTTTCCTTGAACTTCTATAAAGAAAATTTTTCCAGTTTTTTAATTGTAAATCTTGTACGAATACTTCATTACCTAATATCATTCTTTGCATAAAATGTAAAAATGGTATAGAAAGACTATATAGAAAAGTTTGAAAAACCAAAAGTTATTATATTTTGAAAGAAACTGGGTAAGTGATATGAAAAATGTTGTGTTTTTTTTGTTGTTTTTTACAGTAAGAAATAAAGATCAGACCTGGCCAGAAGAAATCTGTAGGCTAGTGAATTCTAAGATAGATCAAAAAAACAAACGTGAGTCAAGATTTTGTATAAATAAAGTTGGGAACAAATTTAAATAGAAATTGTTTTAGTAATTAAGATAATGTATTCATAAATTGGAATTTTCTATGGTGGGGTTTTACGTTTAGTTTTTATCTCTGATTAATGAAAAAAAATTTGTTATTTAGTGTTCAAGAAATCTAAGTTATTGGATTTTAAAACAATTAGTCTAAAATATGAGTTAACAATCTGGATGTAGATTGAAAATTGATCATTTTAGTTTGATACTACCAAATTCAGAGTATCCCATGTTGATTTTGGCATAGTTTTTCTTGTAACTCATTATATGAGGTTCCTCTGGGTTCAGAATAGTTCTTGTGATTCATTTTAGAGGGTGTCATTAGTTTGATATTTTAGGTTGAGTTTTTGGCCAGTCCTCCCCATCCCATTTTTTCCCGTTTTCTCTTTTTTGCCAAAAATCTTTAAGTTCTTTAATTTAGTGGGAAAGAAAGTTTTGAGGGTGTTACCTTTTCATATCAATCATTTATAACACAAACATTTTGAGATTCAATCTGGCAGACGGGATGTTCTAGATTTCTGCTAGATTCTGTAGCATTGAGAGATTTAGTTATAGGTATCAAACATATAAAAACGCAAATCTATGCAACAACGTCATTCTTTACTACATATTTATTAATAACCATCAACCTAAATGGAATGTGCCACCATATTACTTTACTATTGTACTTAATTTTGTCTAAACTTTGCTGTAGATTTTTCTTTAACTTGTCCTTAAAAGTTGCCAAATTTTTTCTTGATGTCCCAATTGAAGACTTGGGTGTAGGGTTGAAGTTGGTAAAATACTTTATTTTGATTTTAGGACCTGCTGAACGAGGAGCCACTGGGTTAAATAACCTGGGAAATACATGTTTCATGAATGCTGCTCTTCAGTGTGTTAGTAACACGCAGCCCCTGACTCTCTATTTTATTAACAACAAACATCTATTTGAACTTAACAGGTAAGCGAAGTATCCAGTAACTGGAAGTTATATAAATGTGCTCGGGTAAGAACTGTAATTAATGTAAAAAAAAATTATTGTTAGTTATTGTGCTCATAACATGAAAATATAGTTGTTGTATGACAGTACAGTTAATCTGTAAAGTGTGACACACTATATTGAAAACAAAGCAACAGTCAAACTAATCCTATTTGCACAGATGGGGGGGGTCACATCGATACTTTTACAGAATTACATTCAAGATTTAATTAACCAACTTTATTGTCGATGTATGTCAGTAAACTTGGCGTCAAAATATTGTTTATGATTCAAATGTTAATATTATATAAGTTTTGTCTTGATTTAAAAATCAAAGATTTAAATATATTCTCAGCTTTAACTTCTGTGTGTCATGTGATTCCTCTCTGCTCTGTATTAAACATTTTTGATTTTCTTTCATCCTTGATATAGTTTTTACAGTGTCGTTCAATCAGATACATCAATTATAGATACTGACAGGTCCAACTTTCCACCTTCTTTATTTTTATGCAGTCATTTTAGAAAGAAAAGGATAATTTAGATTTTTGTATTTTTTGTGGGGGTTACAAGGTCAATATAGTGTTAGGATAAAGAAAATAACAAATACGATGTAGTTTTACAGAAAAAAACTTAATATAAATTTAAAATGCACATGAAATTTGAAAACTTTGAGAAGAAGGAAAAAGTATTGTTACTCAGACTAACTAAATTAAATTCAGAGATAAATCTTTAATGCAAACATTTCATTAATAATTTTGTATTGTATCTTATTTGTATTGTTCACTAAAAACTTGCCAAATTTTGTGAAGATGCACTTTGTAAATTTGAATTACCTTAGATATTAATTCTCCAATATGGGCTGGTTTCAAGGCCCAACGTAACTTTTTTTATTATTATTATATTTATTGATCAAAGACTATAATGATATTCTGTTATTTTCAACTAATTGTAAAATTTAATTTACAAAATTCATACTACATCTAGTATAATCTTATAATATTGACCTTATTATTGTAGTTATGTTATTATTAGCTTTATTCCAAATCTTATCTGGTTTATTGTAGGACAAACCCTCTCAGTATGAAAGGTCACATGGCTAAAAGATATGGAGATTTAGTTCGGGACTTGTGGAGTGGTACATCCAGAACCATAGCTCCTGTGAAGTTAAGGGTAAGACAAACCAAATTCTATTTTCTATAGTAGTTGCGAGAAAGAAATCAAAATCTACTTGTAATAATAGCTCCTATGAACTAAAGGGTGAGACAGAAATAAAATCACACTTGGAACAATGGTCCCTGTGAACTTAAGGGTAAAACAGACATCAAATCCTACTTAGAACTATAGTCCCAGTGTTGGATTTAGGCTTAAGCTATACAGCTTAGGGCGTCACAATCTGCAGGGGTCCTTACAAAATTTCTTTTTAAATTTTATCTATGAGAGAGATCAAGCCAGCCAAATGATAAATATGTAATTTTTCACTTTAAATACCTTGCTATTAAATAATTAAAAGGCATATATATATGTTTTTAATTTTTTGTGGTGACCCAAGGTCGTGTTTGGTACGCACCTTTGTGAGACCTTCTGGTGTAACTTTTTAACAAGGGGCCTCCAAGCTTTATATAGCTTAGGGCCTCACCAAGTCTAAATCCGGCACTGTATAGTCCATATAAATTTAAGGGTAAGACAAAAATCAAATTGTAGTTAGAAAAATAGTCTGTATGGATAAAAGGGTGAGACAGAAAATAAGTTTTCCTTGGATCAATGGTCCCTGTGTATTTAAGATGAAATGAACATCACACTTTAATTATAGCAATAGTTCTTGTAATGTTAAGGATGAACCAAAAATCAAATTTTACTTGGAACAATAGTCTCCACAAATTTAAAGGTAAGATGGAACACAATAAAACAGTGGACCCTTTGAATTTAAAGGTGAAACAGAAATCAACTTCTTCTCAAAACAATAATTTCTCTAAAATTTAAGGTTAACCCTCTTGCTTATGGGCAAGTCAAAGTGTGCATGTCACAACTTCTTAGATAGTTATATTTAAAATTTAATTAAACTACTTTGTTATTATTGTATATAAATAAACTTGACATCAAAATGTAGTTAATATGTCCAATCCTAATATGTTTTAAGTTATTAATTTTAAAAGGAAATATTAAAATAATCAGTCTCTGCCAGTATGAGAATTGTGACATCTGCTCTTTAGGTCTTCCCTCTTTTCTAATTTACTTAACATCCTTCAGAGAAGCACAGAATTTAATGTAAATCAATCATTATAATATAGATATTACTTGAGCAGAGCATAAGTTTTATAATCTTCAATCTCGTTTGTGTATGGAGCCATAAACTAGAAAATCAGACCATGCCAACCTATCACATCCTCTTTTTCACAAATTGCTAATTGTTCTCTCTCATGTTCTATGCTATATTTATTATAACTAATAGAAAGACAAAGTTTTATTCTATAAAATGACATATTGTATTACGTTATTTTTGTTACAGGGCATTATCTATTCCATTGTTAAGTTTTAAAAATTTTCTCGCAGGAATCACGTCAATGAGCTTAGCTAAATTTTTAAACTTATCATGATACAGTCTTACCTTCTTTCACACAAAGCTATCACAATCTTCTTTCTGCCCTTTAAGCATTGCTAAAAGAAATTTCATGTTCATTGCACCATTCTATATACCACCTAGTTTTGTGCCATTGTTGAACATGTACATATCATGTGACTATTCTCGACCAATAGTATTGTGCCACCTATATTGGCACAGCTAACTCCCTCTGCTATTCCTTTTCAATCCTCACTTTCTCGTTTGGCACAGCCTCATTTAGGCATGTTTTTTTTGCATATGGCTGTTATTTATGATTTTGTTTCTTTGCCATTACAAATTTTTTTGTTTTCAACAGTTTTCTTTTACTGTGTTTGCATTTGTTTTTTGTTACTGAATTATATGAGAATTTTGTATGAATTTGCAATTCAATATAATGACCACGTAACAGTTGACAACACTACTGGTACAACTTCCTAGGAATTGGGTTGGACTTTATCTGCAGAGGAGGTACAGGCCTTAATTCTCAAGGAGCTAGATTCGTATGTTAGGCTGGTGATTTGTTCTCCTTTTCAACCTGACAGTTTGAACTCTCTTTTTATTGGCATCATCTTATCTTGGTCTGTCACACTCTCTCCTTCAGAAGTTTTCACCTTCCACACTCTTTTTTTACAGCCGGTCACTCAGGTAAATGCATATTCAATTTTTTCTGTATGTTCGAGATGAAGGTGATTTCGCTAGTTATTTTTTTACGGCGCCACCATGTTGTTCACTTTGGTGGTGGTTTGTTCGTCTCCTCCTTTTTTTCTATTGCTTCCAGATCTATCAGTGATAAGTTTTTCAACTTGTACATTTTTAACCTAGTTATTATACCAATGGTAGGCACAGCTCAGATGCCCTTTGTGTGGCTTTGTCCTTCTTTACACATGGGGGGAATTAAGTATTTCAAATTATCATTGCTCAGACTTTGTTAAGTTAGATATTTATGTGTCCTTTGCCATCTAAGATAATTTAGATTTATTGTAAGTTAGTTATTGGTTATTACTTTGTTTTCTAGGTAATTTTAGTCAGTTTACACATTCATTATCATTATGTACTTCGTAGATTAGGTAAGTTTTGATAGTTTGTCAGTTCGATATTAATGAGTACTTTGTTAACTAGGTGTGTTTAGATAGTTTGTACTTTACATACCATTACTACTAGTAACATCTAATTTATTGTTCTATCTGAATAATTTTTTTTCTCTTTGTTAAATGTGCCTTATAATCCTAATTTTCGTCAGTGTAGGACTTAATTTTTTTGCACTGCTACATCGCTGACATGTTCATTTCTTTCCCCTTTGTGGGACTGAGTTTTGCTTTGGCTGCATTTCCTACTTTCTTGATACTAAAAACCAATTTTTCTTTGTACTGTATGATTTGGGGGTTCATCCCCACAGTACCCACATTGTCATTAGTTATTTATAGCTAGAAGTCAAGTGTTCCTGTTTAAGGCCCTACTGTTTGGACTGATCTTGGCTCCTTACGTGTTTTGACATGTGGTAAGAACATTTGCCCAACATCTTCACTCGATGGGTCTTTTTACTCTTCTGCACTATTTACTCTTGGTTGTGCTATAATGCTCATAGTAGAGATGGGGTGTTCTGCAAGACCACTGGTTGCGTGTCCAGTGGCATATACGTATGTTTTTCAATATTCATAAGTTTCACTCCATTGTAGAC